TAATCGACTGGGCTGTTGTACCCCTTTTCACAGGAGAAAGAGGGCTGGCCTGTGGGCACGGTGAGAAGCTGTGGAACTGGGGGGGGGACTTCCTGCACCCCTGTATCTCAAGCAGCCATGGCATGTGCCATGGTCGGTGTGTCCACCTCCAGCCCAGCTTGCGCCGCAGGTGTGGGGACAACCACTATAGTTTGCATGAGGAAACACTGAATATACTCCTCAGTTAAGCACTTCTCTGTTTCCTCCGCAAATGATCATTCCTGTAAGTAAGGGCCACTGAAACATCTGTAGCTGGATCTGACAGTAATCCTAAAGCATATGTTAGCCAAACTGATACTTGAAAATCTCTTATGTGTTAGACTGTGTGTTCTGTATTGCAGAAATGTGTATCTTTCAAGTTTGAGTTTCTGTGATAAATACACTCGGTTGCTATGGCAAGGGTGAAGAACAAAATCCAGCATAAGAGAATATGTAGAATTCAAGAAAGCAGAAAGGTTTTGAACTTCACTGTTTAGGCTCCTTTCTAATGGCAGTACTAACTTCAAGTTTAAAGCTTGATGGTTCCTGGTTTTCCACTTAAATATTATGAGGTATGGCAGTAATTATCTCTTTTATCAGGGCACAGTGTAAACTTCCTAAAAAGTAGACTAGATTGCCATTCAGCTTGCACATTCCAGCACAAACAGCTATGGAGAACATAATTTAACTGAGAGTGTTAAAAGTGAAGTGGGAATTCAGGTCTAATACTTCTGATTTCTGTGGCTATAACTGAGAAGCTAGTATTGTGAGAAGGAAAAAAAAGTATATGCAGGCAAGCATGCAAGTGAATTGCTACAGTACTTTTGTAGACCTGGAAGGCTAACACAATTAGTCCTTTTAGAATGTTTTATGCCTCTTCAGTAAGCCCTTGAGAAGCTTATAATTATGATGTTTTGCTGCATGTTGTTAGCTGTTAATGTTTAAAGTATATTACTCTCTTCAGACATTGAGCTTTTGCAGGGTATTTTAATAGCAAATCATGAACTTGTGAAGACACCTGGTTCGCATTATCAATGGATGTACAAGCACATGAAAATCCAGAGCTTAAAATCTCTCTTTAAAGGTGAATTTCCAAAGATTTTGTCAATTACCTTTACAGTTTTGTGCTGAATGCTTCAAGTATTGTACAGTGCACTGAAGCATGCAGTTATCTAAAAATATAAAGCACAAATGCGTATTCACAGCATATGTGGTTTTTTTGAGGGCTAAAGGCTGCCTCCTCATTGTTCTGGCAGGCTGTTGGGAGGCCAGGACAGAAGGGGTGGTTAGCCCAGGTAGTGAGATGTATGTGTGTGAAGAGAATACTTTTGTGTACTGCCAAGGGTGCTTGTTTCAGGGTCAGAAATCTTCTCGGATTGGAAGGGGGAACTGGAACTCTTTCCTTCCCTTTTCTCTGATAAATAACTAGCAGTCCTCATCCCCCTGCTGAAAAGTTTTCCTGTGCTCCAGTCTCCTGCCACAGCTGGCAGCTTGGTGATGGTTATTAGGTCAGACCCCATTAAACATCTTATAAGCTATTAAACATTGCTTTTACCCCAACTTTAGCACACACCATGACAAACATAAGACATTTACCACAAACAGTGAAGTCCCCAAAAATTACCAAGTGCAATGCAGGGAGCAGGAGAGATCAAGGGCTTTGGCATTAGCAGAAAAAGAGTTAAGGGAAAATTACTAGGGAGTAAATAACTGTTTAGACACAGAAATCCATGATATACTGAAATACTTGCTCATATGGTTCTCTAGGCTGCACTTTTTGTTCTTTCAATGCCCAGTGGTTACTCTGTTCTGTCTGCTGAGATTGACTGGCAGGAGCTTTTAAGTGAGCAAAAGCCAAATAAAAAATAATAAAAAAAAAAATCCAAATGCTAAGGCTGTAATAAATGTATATATTAAATATTCTACTAAGCTTTATCAGTGAAACTTTTGATTATACCTTGATTTATGCAAAAACAAATAAACAACCCTTTGCCAAGCAACTGTTTGAACTTATTGCTGGACTGGAGAAACTTAACAAAACAAAAATTGATTAAATTTAAACTGTTAACGTAACACTTGTATAGCAGACTCACAGGCCTTTACTGTCTTCTGACTGCTGGTTGTTTGGGTTTCTCCAGTGTGGCAATATTTTTGCTCTTTGCTTTTTCTAGTGACATAGAAATTCCTGACAAGAGCCTGGCTCTCTGGGTAGTGTGTACCTATCTCTAATTGTTTCCTGCCCTCCAAATGGGGCCAGAGAGATGGGGGCGGGGGGAGTGCAACTGGGAAAAAAGTAGAAGCCTCACACTATTAAGGTCTCATTACTGAGGCAAGAAAAGAAACGATTATTCCCTTAAGAATTTGTGTTACTTTTTCATTTACTTGTAAAGGGATAAAATTTCACATTTTTCTTGAGAGCTGGGATTCTCATGTAATTTCCTGACAACTCAGGTCCAGAATTCCTAAAAAACATTGACTATGGAAAAACTTAAACCAGTAGTATTATCAGCTCCTGAGACCCTTGATGTTTCCCTTACAGCTCTTAATAGCAAGATGTGATAATATCAGAATTTAATCTCTCAAGTTGTCGCCCCCCCAAAGATATTTCTCTGGTTGCAGACAGAGGTTGAGAAAACACAACCCGAGTACATATGAAGTTCTTGGTTTCAGAAGGACAAATTTGACAGACCCCCTACATTACTTTTTAACAAATCATGTTTATTTTGGGATCAAATGTGTGATTTCTGAATGGTTGCAATTGTCTATGCAGAAGCTCTTGAAAGCTTGGCATACTTTAACATATGTCAATATTAGGGTATCAGCATCCTAAAAGGAAGGCTTTCCTGGAGTTACACTGTGTGTCATCCTAGCAAAAGGCTCCTGAAGCCCACCTAATGACATAGTTATTGCTACATTTGTATGACCTGTATTTATAAGGTTTTACAAGCTATCTCTGAGCATAGTGTCCATTTTAGGAGAGCCAGACAGAGAAAAGGTCCATGCTGGTCCGTCTTCTGCTAGGTTAAAGTGAAAGGGCTCCAAGAGGCCTGGTGACACCAGGGGACAACTGTGGAGGAGCCAGCGGTGTTCTGGGTGTTGCAGGCAGTGCAGCAAGCAGCACATGTTTAAAAGGAAACAACCAACCCACCAAACAACAAAACCAAGAAGTGACATATAAAAGCATCATCCCCTTCCCTGGCTTGTGAGCTCTGCATGGAGCATCTATCCTGCCAGGAAAGTGGCACGTTGCAGTGCTGTAATAAAGATGTGGGGGGATGACAGGTCTGCATGGTGGGAGTACAGTGCTGCAGTACTTGCCATGGCTCAGGCGAGTAAGTGGTGTTAGCACGGCGCTGGTTCCTGCGGGGCTGAGGCTGGTGCTTCCAGCGCCAGCACAGGGTCTTTGCTTGACCTGGAAAGGTCCGGGTCTGCACAGCACAGGAGTTTAAACCACCCACAGTGGTATTGCCAAGATGGTGTTTTCTTCCCATGTTTCTTGTCGTGCTCTGGCTGTTCCTGTTTAATAACTCTGAGGCACAAACCTGGTTCCCGGACCTGTCGAAGGCTGTGGCCAAGCTTGCATTTGCTGCAGAAAGAGCAAAGATCTTAACCTGTGTCGTGGTTTGAGCACTCAAACCATGACAACCAGACACAAGAACGTTGCAGTAGTTCTCCCTCAGCCTGTTCTCCGTACCCATGGAATTGGCATGCAGGGCCGAAGCACCTCCAAACCAAATGTGTTCATTGTAATGAGTCTGACTTTCCTCTTCTCTTTACCAATTCTCTACAAGCGGTTCTTGTGGCGGTCTGTGAGCAGCCCGCAGCAGGGGTTTTGTTTGTGTGTGTACAGTACCTAGGACCAGGGGGTCCCCTCTTAGTTGAAACTACTGGGCATTGCTGTAATGTACAGAATAAATAAAAATAGTGATCAAAACATGAGCAATAAAAGAATAAAATGTTAACCACAATAAACTACTTTCATGAATGCTCAGTTATATTTTATTGGGCTTTCAGGACTTACATATCCTTCGAGTCTTTATGAATACTTGAGAATAAGTAACAACACTTTGGTGAACACTGAGATACTTGACATTTGCAAGAGGTCAGGGTCTGTTTTATAATCCTTGGGAATTTCAAATAATTTCCTTTAAACTGTTTACAGGTGAGGGAGTTATGGTCCTGACAGGGTAGATTTGGGAGGTCAGTCCCACACCATGGAGGAGCACGTCTGCTGGGCCGAGGGACTGCACAAGGGGAAGGCGGGGTGGCGTGTCCCTTCACCCCTGCGCCCCGCTCCTCGGGTGCCTGTGTCTGGCTGGGCCGGAGGCTTCCTGAAGATGTACATGAGATCATATAGGCAGGGATCTGTCTGTCCGTCCGCCCCTCGCCAGGCCGACCTCCAAAATGGCGATCGGTACCCCGGGTCTGAGACAACCGCTCCGGCAAATCACGCTGCTCAGAGTTTTGGCGGGGCCGGGCCCTCACGAAGCTCCGCGGGGCCGTGGCCCAGGGGTAATGGCGGCCGGGGCACGCGGCGGCCGGCCCGCGCGGGGCGGGGCGGGGCGGCAGGCGGGGGGCGGCGCGGGCCGCCCGCCGGCAGGGGGCGCTCGCTGCCGCGGCTGGCGGAGCGCGGCTTTGTTCTCCGCCCGGGGGCGGGGCCATGGGCGGGGCGTGGCCGGCGGGGAAACTGCGCGCTTTTTTTTTTTTTTTTTTTTTTTTTTTTTTTTAAGCAGCTCTGCAGTCAGTCGCGACCATGACAAGTTTATTCTGTGCAATGGCTCCTTCGGGCTGTCCGCCGTGCAGCGCCCGCCTTCTCCCCCCCCCCTCCCCCCCTCCCCCGCGCTTTGCCGCCAGTCAGCGTCACAGGGATGCTTGGGTTTCGCAGCGAGTTTCGTTCGGATAAGCCAGAGTTCAGGCGTGTGAATGCAAGCAGGTTTCTGTGGGACACGCTCCAGCATGGTTTGGTAACACGTGCGGCTGGGTGCTGGGTGCCTGCTCTCCTGGCTGAGGCCGTGGCCAGCTTCTCCCCGTCTGGGGACGTCTCCGGGCCATTTCGGGACTCAGCGTCTTGTAGCTCCTGTGCTGCCACACGCGAAAAAGACAGTGGGCACCGGGTGGGGGGACACGACGTGACTGGGAGCGATGCCCTGCTGCTCATTAGCCACTCAAGGCCTAATCCTGCTTCCACTAGAGCCCACGGGAACTTTGTTACTGGCTTCCGTGGGGGTTGGCTCCGGTCCCTGATGTCACGTAATCTGAAGCGAGCTGCGGCTGTCAATGGCAGGGCTACAAGGGGCTGTGTTTCCTCTTTCCCATCGCAGGGTACGTGAAACAGTTAGTATTCATGCATTAAATCCTTCTAAAATAAAATCTCGCGACTGCCATCTCTCTGTGTGCTATATTTAAACTGGCCGGAAGATTGTTTAAATATATCTCATGGACAGTTTACAATGTGAATTATTTCCTGCCTTTTAAAAGAAAGAAGTTGTGGTTTAAAGATATCTGGCAAGTTTATTACAATGAAATGTCACGTTCCTCAAACAAGTCATCAAAAGAACAATTTTTAGCAATGACTGGTGTCCAACATTCACCATTCAGAAATGTTGCGGAGTGTGATTTTGTTTTAAATAAAATAAATAGGAAAAGCCTGCACATTTGATCTGCTCGGCATTCCTGGGTGTTCAAGGCAAGATTCCAGCTATCTAGCTCAGGTCCTGAGGTTTCTCCCTTGGTACCTCTGCACTTGTGACAGCATAGGTTGCTACTCTGAGTTGCCCTCAGTTGGGTGTCTAAAGAATCCGTTGTGAATGCGCCCTGTAAAAATGCCCCGTCCCTCGTTTCACTGAATACTGTGTAATATATATAAAAATTTTAGGGGAGGGGGGGTGTCAGAAATGGGCTAAATGTACTAAGAAAAGTGCATTTAGAATTGTGCTCTCAAGTGGTGGTCTCATAAAATTGTAAGCATTGTTTTTTCTGTGAATGTATCTTAACATTTTTGATGTTTTAATTTGTTCTCATCTTTTTTTTTTTTTCTTTTTTTTTTTTTTTTTTCTTCCCTACTCAGCTCTTGCCCCTGTTCTTTGCCTCTGGTTTTGTTGGTGAGGATATCACAGTGATGTCTGCATTCAACCTGCTGCATTTGGTGACAAAGAGCCAGCCAGTGGCCCTGCGAGCCTGTGGGCTTCCCTCAGGTTGAATGGGTGCTGCTTGTTGTGTCATGCATAATGAAGGCCCTTTTAGGAATGGGTGTCTCTGCTGCAGGAAACTATGTGCTATGGGTTGCTCTGGTTTGTTTAAATTTACCTTTGAACCGAAAGTTTCTTTGCCTTTTTTTTTTTTTTTTTGTAGAAGTCACTGGCTTCAGCAAGGGTTTTCATATCCGAGATTTTAAGATGCTTGGCAATGCTGTCTGACTTACTTGTCCAACATACTCTCTTAAATTTTATATTATTTTCCTCATTCTTGGCAAAACGAGTGGAAGGAAGCTGAAAATAATTTGTTAAATGCCATTTATAATTTTTTTAAAGAGATGCATAAAAGAATTTAGCATATCAATTGCTATTAAATCATAAGACTTAAAAGGATTTTCCAAAATCTTTAGCAGTATACTGTAGTTACGCTCCATGTGTCTCTTTTTACATTTTTAGTATAAATCAAATATATTGTGCTGAAAATTATGTACAAAAAGTATGCAGAACTTAAAACATAGTTCTTTAATTCCTCTGACAGCATATTCTTTACTTACGTGATACTTCTCTAAATAAATAAATGGAAACATGCAATTTAATACCCAGATGCAGCTGCACTTTTCATGTAAGGTCTGGGTTCGGCTATTGGGTCTGTGAAGTGTGCCGTAAGACCCCATCTCCATGAATTGGTTGCATCATGAAAACCTTGAACCTGAATATTTTGTGTTTCACTTAAACAACAGTATCTGTAATGTACAAGGTTATGTGGGAGAAGATAAAAGCTGCCCTAATTGAGAATGTTACTAGGAATTTTCTTGACACCCAAATAAAAAAGGTACAATCCTGGTTAATCACTATTTGAAGCATCAAAAAAGAGCCAGATTGGGTATTTGTACTACACTCACGATTGGTTCATAAGGGTGCAAAATGCTGTGAGCACTTTTTCCCAGAGCTGGACTTAACAAGCATATGGAGTTGATGTTTTTAAAGATTTTTTCAGTGATAAGACATCAGTTTTCAAGCTGATGGATTTTTCTAAAGCTGATTACACTTTATTTGAACTAAATCTGAGTCCAATTTTTGCAGCATTTGTGTTCTGTTTCCCCCATGTGCACAAACCCCATTAACCTAGATAGGAGCTGCAAACACATATTGAGGAAGAGAGAGAATAGCCCACATTGTGTCAGCCTGACCTTGGTTTCCTGTTATATTTGCTGCTGAGTCAGATTTAAAATCCTAAAAATATAGGGTAAGCAAATTTCCTTAGCCCTCATTATGTACCTTTTGATGTGCGCTCATATTGCTGGTGTCTACCTAAAATGGGGGCACTCAGTCTAATGGCCATTTTGTTTCTGATCTGAAAAGGAGATCTTGACTAGAACTCAGCTGGATCACAGGGCTGTCAGCCAGAAGCACAACCTGTGAGAAGTTTTGCATACCTATTTGCAAAGTATTGCATTAACTATTTTGTCAAATTGTTTTTTGGCGTGATTCAGTAGTCACGTTTTGGAATAAAAAGCTCATAACGCTACTGTTTATTCCTGTCCTTTTGATCCATAACTGTGCAGACATTAATAGATTGAGTTCCACTGACTGGCTAATTTATATATATATAAAAAATATATATACATATTATTTTATCTATAATAAACCCAAATTCATCTGCTAACAGTGGAATAATATACAATCACTTATCTCACATATTTTAAGAGTAATCTGAATTCTCCAGATGCTTATAGATTAACATAGGCTTGCTTTGCCTTTGGTTTGTTTTTTTGTGTGTGGTGTATTGAGGGGGTTGCGAGTAAATGGTAGAGCATGTATCAAATTAAACATGGGAATGAGATCTAGAGCCAACATCTGCTTAAATGCCGCAGTGCACTGTGACTTTAACTTTTGAATATACAGAAAACACCCCGAGTTCTCATGAGTTTTTTATAACGTAGCACTTTGAGTTAGTACTTTTCCCACCACCCAGTTCTGTGTGAATTGCAGCCCTGCAACCATCCCGCCATGATGTGTGCCCATCAAGTCTGGAATGGTGTGGAGTTTGGTCGTCTTCTAATTCAGTGGCAAACTCCATACGGAGGGAGACTTTCTAACCTCCTGGAACCCCTGGCCGCTCAGCATAACAGAGCAACATGCCAGCGGAGCTATAAATTGGGCTTTCAAACACAGTTTTAAACTCCATGCAGTTAAATATTTGCAGGATGTGGACTTAAATGAAAATATCATTGCAATTTCGATGCTTGGAATGGTACCTCTGTCCTTCCTCTAAGGAACAAACTAATACAATGCAATATTTAGTTTATATTTAATATAAAGTTATAGTTGTAGATCAAAAATAAGTGTGTGGGGTTTTTTCTCCATAAGTTAAATGAATGAAATAATGTTAGGAAGTAGCTTAGAATGGGGATGACCTCCTGCCTCTTCTTTGAAACAGTGTTTTGTAAGCATGTGCGAGTTACACTGGATCAGTTGTGCTAGTGAAGTGTTTTCACTCTTTTTTTTCTACTTGTATATTAGCACCTGGAGTGTGGATCTATTCTTCCAAATTGTATTTTTAAAATATTTTTTTTTGTCTGAAGTTAAGACTAAATGCGCAGCATGTGCAAACCTAGTGCGTAGTTTGCCCACTGTATTTTTTATAGCTGACGTACTAAAGTCAGAGTATGAGAAGTCACTCCCAGTAGATGGCACTAAGCATATGCTGTTTTGCATGCCTAGCACTATACGAAAAGCTTCCCATTTAGGAGTCAGTCATACATAAAGTACACCCTGAGACCTTATGAACATTTACAAGTATTTTAAGAAAAGCTTGAGCACTGGGAAAAATCACATAAATCTTTGCTGGTACGCAAACTATCTTCACATTGGTTCAAGGTTTCTTCATTGCCAGTAATGATTACAGCTCCATTGTGTCTGTCTGTGATGTAGATGTGATGCTTCTTGAGCCAGCTTTATTAGGGTTGAATGCGCTAAATCTCTTTGGAAATGTAGGATGCACTCAGCACCTGCCAGGATTTAGTTCACAGAAATAAAAAAAAATAATAATAATAAAAAAAAAAAAACAACAAAAAATGAACAACAACAAAACAAAACAAAACAAAAAAAAACCCCAAAAAAACCCCAAAACAACCCAAAACCACAACAAAACCCCCCCCAAACTTTTAATGTAAAAACTACTTCAGCTGCTTTAGTGCATACCAACAAGTAACTGGTACAAATAATGATTATGCAGATTCCATGTACATATGTTTTCTGTAGCAGACCACCAAGCTATGAAGTAAAAAGATAGCTTATTTTGCTTTGCTGTGTCTTTTAATTATTATGGGTTCTCATTTCTTAAAAAAATCCTTTATTTCTTTAACACTTTGAATGTTGTGCTGCTTACATCATGTTTTGTTGCATGAGATAATTTGGCTTTTCCTTTCCTGTAGATCAAAGAAAATTATGGTGCTTGTAAATTTAAGTAAAGGTAATCATGAAGAAATTACAGGGGTAGACTTAAGGGTTTTTTTCTGTTTGAAGTAATAAAGTCCTAGATAATATTAAATTGTTGTGTTTAATTACTAAAATAACTACTAGTAGGAAACCATACTTTTCTAGGATTAGATTAAACTACAATACATCTGTATGAAGATGGTGGTGGGCATATGGTGTAAGTCTTTATTAAGTAAATATCTGTAGTACAGTTTCTCATAACTTGTTTTATTAAAACTTTGTTAATTCCAAGTTTCAGTATAATGTAATTTCTTAAAATTTAAATGAATAGTTAGCGAATAGAAAATTACCTCAAAATGGGATTTTTAGTAGTAATCTGTTAACATAAAGGATTACTTTTAGGAGCAGATCTTGCAAACAGCTACATACGTGAGTTATTTGTATGCATTTGTCCCTCTGAACTCTAACTGCTCATGTCTGTGAAATTATCTGCACTGTAGTGTTTGCCAGATCTGGATTTAACAGCAGAAAGTCTAGAAAAGACCTCAGTCTCATGTGTTCAAAGTACGGTAGTTGCTATCAAACTTTGTGTGACTTAAGTATGTCAAAATGTTTCATATTGTATGTTTCTGTGTTCAGAGATATTATTTCCATGATGTATGTTACAGCTTTCTCATAGCTTTCTGTAATGTGTATCACCAAAGATGTTCTATTACAGACATCTGTTCACGTGGTCTGAAAGAAAATAAAAGTAAGCCTGATATGCTGTATAGCAAAAACCACCTGTATGGCTATGGTTAAAAGACTGTCAATGTTTTCATCATAAATCCCTATGTTCTGGGGTTTATATCTTGAATGTAACAGTTTGCTTTGTGTTTAAATATGTCACACAAGGTCTCAACTGGATGTACTTGTTCCTCAGAACTAGTTGGGGGGCAAAAATCGAAACTCATTTCTATGATGTTAAAAAAAAAAAAAAGGCAAATATCAATTTGGAACAAAAAATAGATTTCTAAACTCAAAATACAGTCTTACAAATGGTCTAGTTTGCTACCTCCCAGCAGTTAAGAGGAATTTGATAAATGCTTGAAAAGAGTCTTGAGAACAAGCACTCTAAGCACAATAGCTGTTCATGTGTCATTGTTACATAAACGTCTGTGTATGTGTCTGCCTCCTAGCCATATGTCAGTTGAACGCTGTATTATCATAATAGAGCATAACATTATCATATTTTTAACATTATCATATTTTTGGAATGACTTGAAAATGGATTTTTAAAATTACCTTTGTATATAGCTGTCTTAACGGGAGTATATTTGATGTTATTCTGTATTTACAAGTGTTTCTTTTGTACAATAATATTCAGTCTAGAATGTCTTATTTAGTACAGTTTACAATGCAACTTATTTGTAGATATCTCATTGGGAGTGATACGCTCCTTATCGCGCTTAATGCTTGCAAAATTTGGGATCATAAGGAAGACCAGAAACCCTTTGTTAGTGTACCCTTTTTACTTGTACCCTAGGGTTTCTACCCTGTTTTTTTCCCCCCGTCTTAAC